TGACTTTTTACAGTAGGAATGATAGTGCGAATGAGAGCAAATGTCAGTTCACCAAAAAAGAGCTGTGGACATTCTCCTCCTAGGCCAGCCCTGGCTGCTCACTGCTGAGAGCTGCCAGAGTCCTAGAAAGCTGCAGTTACACAGGACGGGTGTTTCTCTGCTTCCCAACCTGCTTTGCTCTTAGATTTGAATTGCCTTTTTTTTAATTATTTGTTTCAGTTCCTGTACCAATGATAGTGTGGTTTTTTGGTGCAAAACAATTGCAACAGCCTTTTTGTGCTGCTGTGGGTTTTGCTTATGAAGACCCTGTCCTTGCCGTGCATTGGAGCCATGTCCCACGAGGGCCCAGGACATGCAGGATTTGAGTAACAGAAGCAGTCCTTCCCACAACCATGAGAAAATGTCGCTATTTTCTTCACCTTTGCTAGGCTTCCCCCTGGTTTTGTGGCTGTCTGGTTTCCCTGGGACTGGCAGGTGGTTTAGTTCTGCAGTACATCAGTGAGGTGATCTTTATCCACTGAGATCTCGCTTGGCTCCAACAGCCCAAGGTGAAAGCCCATGTAGCTGCGGGGTGATCTCCCAGCAAAGCAAGCCTGGCTCTGGCAGGAGCTGGAGGATTCGGGCATTTGTGCTCTGTCAGGAGGTTTCTGCCCACGAGAGCATGCCCGGGGGATCACGGCTGAGCCGGCCAGCCTTGGGGAAGCCAGGCAGCCGGCCAGCTCCCGCTCCGTAATGGGGGGAAGTAACCAGCTGCCTTTGATGTCTGAGCTGGGCTGAGAAAACTTGACGGCAGACTTCAAAGTCTGTTGCATCCGCTTGCCTGATTATCTGTAGGCTTCCAGTGCGTCCCCCAAGACTACCAGATTATCCCAGCTAATGCTGTGCTCTTCCCTGTGTCCCCCCACCCTGCCTGGCACCAGCCCCTTATTTTTGAGGCTGCAACCTCCCTCCCTCCCTCCCCCCCCCCCCCCCCTCCCCCCACCCTCCCCTCCCTCCCTCCCTCCTTCCCTCTCCTCCTGCCCCTCCCTGGTCACTGTGAGGACGTGGCAATGGCATTTCTGGGCAGGGGACATGTCTCCTGAGATCTGTGAAGCAAAGGCAGAGGAGGCATTTTTGGACAGCTTGCCTATAGCCTGCACCCCTGGGCTGTATTCCCCCTCCCCATTTGATCGCAAGAGCAGCCTGAAATGCAGGGAGCTCTTTGCAGCTGCCCTTTGCAAGGCACCGAGGTGTTTATAGCCAAGAAGGCACCGTGTGCCTTTCCTCCAAAAAGCCTTTGGGGAACAGGGCTCCCATCCATGCTGTTCCAGGGAAGGTCATGCAAGGAGAGGGCTGTGTTGTCTTTGCCCCCTTCCTGGCACCTTGCTGCCTCAAATTAATCTCTAGCTCCCTCGCCACCTGCTCCTTGGTGTTCGGGGAGCCCCAGGGTGCTCGTCTGTGTGAGTAGAGATGCAGAGGGCAGGTCACTGCTGATGGCTGGCTTGCTTGGATGGGGGTGGGGAGACGGCAGAGCCATGGAGTTGAGCAGAGGCCCCAGAGCTCATGCTCCTCCCAGAGCAGCTTGCTTTCACCTGGGATGTTGCAGAGCGATGCCAAAAGCTCATGGAGGAACCCTCCCTTTTAAGACCTGGGTTTTTTTTCCCCCTAGAGGAAGCAACCTCAGCAGTGGCTGAAAACTGTTCCTGCGCAAAGCTGGATTTGCCCAAGATGTGGTTTGAGGTCTGGATTTCTTTGGAAGTTGAGGTTTGTTGCTACTTTTCAGGAGTCAGGATGGGCTGTGTCCTCTGCTGCAATGGGTGGAAGCCAGCAAAGAGAGTGGCAGCTGTGGGCAGAGGAGACCGGCATCGTCTGCTGCTCAGGAGCCTTGCTGCCTAACCCCAGGCACCCAAATGGGGTGAGGGGGCTCACGGGGGCCATATAGCCAGGCAGAGGATCTGGGCTGCAGCCTCTCTCCTATGCTTGCCTAATTGCTTTTGGGTCTCGGCAGTCTGTTCCCTCTGAAAACCAACACTGACCATGGGTTCGCCTCCTTCCTCCTCAACGGCTTCCTCTGTAGCATGTCTACCCTACTTGTGGGAGGACCCTGCCCTACCCCCATCCCTCCCCAGGCTCCTTGCGGTGTGCAGGCAGAGCGTCCGGTCAGCTGTTGTCTGTCCGTGAGGTTTCAAAGTCCTCACAGACATTGCAGATTGCTGCTGTGCTCTTTTAGGTAGAGTCTAACCGTACCCTGGCTGCACTAGGCTTGGTAATGCTTTCCATGCTATATTTTGGTGGTGTTTTTCTGGAAAGCTTTGGCCCAAAGTGGCTGAGCAGCATCCAAAAAGGGTGCCCGCAAAGGGATCCAGGGAGGCAGAGGGAGGGAGAATGGGTACAGAGGCATGCAATTAAAGATGGTCATCACCCACGTGAAAGCCAAAGCCAGTGCTGTGGGCAGCCTGACCTCTGGTCTTGTGCTCTGAAGTGGGAGATGGTGGTAGCCTGCTGAGGTGTGCTGAGGTGGCCCTGCTGCTCAGGTCGGGGGCTGTGCTGAGGGCTGGGGGTCAATAGCATTTAATCCGCATGGCCTTGGTGCAGCGCTTCAGCTCACCAGGCTAGGTGCATGGGCACACACACTGCCTAGCTTGGAGGAGGTGAGTCCTTTGCTCACTGTGGGTATGGGCAGGGACCCTCTGTGCTATCCAAGAGGTGTATTTCCCCCTTGCTTCCTGTCCTGTGTCTTCCCCAGGAAAATAGGGCAAGGGGATCTTTTCTTCCTGTGGATCTGGCTTCACTGATGTGGTTTCTAATGGCAATGCTGTCTTTGTAAAGGATTCTCTGATCTTCCTTTACCCTGCCTTGAGTCATCTATAGCCCTGCTGTATGTCTGGTTGCACTGATTTCCCAGGGAGGAAGAGAATAAGTTTTAGACTGCGCAGTCCAAGGAAGAGGGAGCTGTTGGTTTTGTCCACAGAGGAGCATCATTGCTGGTGATAGGGCTGGGCCAGGCAATCCTATTCTCCCCAGTTTCTCTATTGCAAATGTAAAAAGTGACTCATGCATCATTAGAGTTGCAAGCTTGGAGTTAAACTGTCCCCGTGTGTGCATTTATCTGCACACTGATTGTTAGAAGCTCACTGAGGTTGAACTCCAAGTTTCCTTTCTATTTACTCTGTCGCTGTAGCAGAGATGCTTTTCCCTCCTCCAAAGTGGTAAGTGGGTTGGCTTACTGTCAGCAGAATCATCCCTGGGGCACTGCTGGCAGCAGGTTGCTCTTGGAAAGCAAACCTCTTCATCCCTTACCTCTGAGACGGGAAGTTTTCATCCTGCAGCAGTGAACGGAAGCCTACCACGCTGTTATGGCTATGTGCGTGTCCATGTCCTACTGCCATGGGACACGTGTCCTCCTCACCAACGGGTGTGCTGGGGCACTCCTCCACCGCTTGCCAGCCTCTGCTGTATCTGCTCGCCTCCTCTGAGGAGCCAGCGCATGGGTTTCAGCCCTGTGTTGCACCCTCTTCCCCCAAAACAGGTGCTGCTCCTTTGATTCATTTTGTTGCAACGAGGGTGGGTGGCAGAGGACAGGTAAGATCCTGCAGGGACGTCTCTGCCTCTGCTGTGACAGCCTGTCCCCTCAGCCTGGATTTGGCTTTCTAGGGAGCTGCATGGTGCTATGGGAGCTGTGCGTACAGGCTGATGAGGAGCTGGCTAATGGAGGCGCAAGCCTTGCAGCGAGGAGTCTCTGCCTCCATCTCCTGGCCCTGCAGGCCATCATATGAATCCGTTTATTAAATGGCGAAAGGAGGGACCTCGTGGTTTTGTTCG